AATGAAGGTGGTAAGCACATAGGCCATCTTTATAATGAAGGGACTTTGTAAATAAGGACATAGGAGGACTCAAGGCCTCACAAAATTAATTCATGTTGGCTTAGCTAAGAGTTGGTCCTATAGATCTTTTTTTAAGGATGAAAAACACTAGTAATGAAACTTGTTTCAGGTTGCGATAGGATTATCTAGTGAGTGACTGAGAATCAGTGATAATTCAGGACTTATCCAGAGCAATTGGTATGTTAATGTAACAGTTTTCAACTGGTGTGCCACAACAGAGTGGTGTGAGGCAAGGTGTTTTAAAACATGCAATTCCTGACTATTTAGTCAGGGACACTAACCTCTTTTCCCTTAGATTGTCAAATAAAAAAATGACAACAGCCAACACAAGAATAGCTATCCAGTGTGCATGAATCAAAATTATACCTATATTTTTTGTCAGATCGGCAAAAAATATATTTTTTGGTGTGCAGCAAAATTTTATCAGTTTATGTGTGCCATGAGATGAAAAAGGCTGAAAATCACTGTGTCAATTAAATCTGTAAAGACACTCAGGGAGCCTCTTTAGAACTGGAGAAACTCAACCCAAGACGAGAAATAATGGGAAAAAAAATCTCAAAAATCCATTCACTTGTTCAGAAAATATTTTGTTCCTACTCTGTGACATGCATCTTGTTAGGCACCAAGAATTTAAGGATAAAAGACATGGTCCCTTTCTGCAGCAAGTTCACGGTCCAGTAAGAGAGCAAGTAAATCACTACAGTTCGGTGAGGTAGTTATAGGTAAAGTTTGGGTACAAGAGAGCCCAGAGGTAGGGCTCCTAACTCAGGGGTTGGAGAAGGATCCCCAGAGAGAGCAACACCTGAGCAAGCCCTACAACTACCCAAGCAGTTAATCTAACAGAGAGCTCCTTTGCAGCAACCCAGAAGCTGAATTGCATGTCATTTAGTAATTTGGTCATGCTGAGGCAAGGTTGTGGGCCTTAGGAGAGCAGGGGGCTTCCTTGGTAACGTCGACATTATAGTCATTGTTCTTTTAGGAACGCTTGTTTGAAAAAAAGCACATGATGCCCTCATCCTCCAAAAAAAAAATCATATTGGGAATTTTATTACAGTTTTAAATCATCTTGTGTCTTATTAATCCCAACAGTTTCTACTGGCATTCACATTTCAGAAATATATACTATACTTTTAAATGAACTCGTGTATTTTAATCCCAACAGTATCTGACATTTTCATTTAAGAAATACTATCTCATGTATGAGCAAGACTTACTAGTTTTTCATTGTAAAGCAATCTTTGTTCATGCATATATTGATGAAATCCTTACAATAACTGCCAGTTCATCCCCCCCCCAACCCCCACGCACCCAGAGGTCTGTGATCCACAGTGAGTTAGCATTGCAGTGAGGATACCGGCATGCTCTGAGACTGGAGAGGTAGCTGGAGCTAGGCTTCAGTGTCCATATTCAAGTGAAGGGATGGGGAGTTCCTGGAGAGCTTGAAGCAGTGACAGCAACAGAGCATTACTAGGTCAGTGTGGCAAGTGCGGGAGGGTCTGAACTAAAAGAATAGCAGTAAATGGTGAGAAAGGAGTGGGCGCTACTGCCCCCTGGTGGGCGCTGCAGCAATCCAGGGGGGTGGTGATGGCCACAGGTGCATTTGTTTTAACTTTTTTTGTATTATCTTTCTATTCTGAGTTCAATAAATAGTTTCATAATTTCAAACTTCAATGTTTCTAATTTACACCTTTCTTTACTATATTTTACGAAAAAGGTAGAAACATTAATACATATATCTTTCTGTTTAATTGCTATTAAAATTTAAAAAAAATTAATTTCCAGGGGGCGCTGAGTAATATTTTTTCTGGAAAGGGGGCGGTAGGCCAAATAAGTTTGGGAACCACTGCAGTAAATGGTGAGAAAGGAGCAGATGTGAAAAGTATTAAAAGGTTGAATTGCTTGGAGGTAGGGGCCCTACAGACAGGAACTGGGGAGGAAATATCAGATGGCTCCCAGCTTTCTGGCTTAGCTAATTGGACAAATAGTGGTACCAACACAAAGATTAAAAGGCAGAGAAAAGGACAGGGTTCGAGTAGAAGATATTTACTTTAGACATAGCAACTTTGAAGTTCCTGTGGGACAGTTAAGTGGAGATACGTAAGTTGGAAGGATCTAGGCTAGAGATGCAGGCTTGGGAAGCATGGACATATGGATAATAATCAAAGTGCTGGGTGTGGGTGATAGCACTCAGGGGGAGTACATAGTATGGAAAAAGAAGCGGTCCAAGCACAAAGACTGGAAACCCCAACATCTGAGAAGCAGGTAGAAGAGAACAGTCCCCCCTGGAAAAGAAACAAAGGGGGAAACCCAAGAGAGAGGCAGAGACAGAATGAACATGGGAGCCAAGGGAAGAGAGGCTTTAAGCAGGGAGCCATGAAACTAGTCAATGCCACCGAGCACTCAAGTGTTAGGACCAAAAAGTTTATCTACTCATAACGGCAATGGAAAGATTAACAAAAACACCATTCCCTGCTTATATGGCTCATTATACTTGCAAAGGACTTCCATATTTTTATTTCATTGCACTACACCCTATATAGCATTCTTACAGATGCAGAAAGTGCAGGAAGTGAGGTTAAGAGATTTGCCATAGCATCTTGCAAGTCAGCAGTCGGGCTCCTGAATTTAGAGATAGTCCAGATCTTGACCATGCTCCCTGATTCCACCCACTCGGAGTTAGCTTTCTAACCAACCAATAAGGAAATCAGAAGTGGGCCTTTTCCAGAATAACTACTCGTTATTAGTATAGAAATTAAAAGGCTTGCCTATCATACTTGGTTTTGTGTTGCCTAGAAGCCAAAGATGTCAGTACTCTGGGGTCACCTGAATCTAAATGGGCAATAGCTAATTCTTCAAGGGGAGAGCTTGCACCTCATTCTGTGTATAAGAGGGACATTGAAGGTTTTCAAGTAGAGGAGTGATATACATTTGAGTATGCTTTGGAAAGATTAATTAGTATTAGTGAACTTGTGTTTGACAGTGCACACCACCTGAAACAAAATAATAAAAATACACTGTTAAGACCTGTCTGGGTTTTTGTTTTGTTTTGTTTTGTTTGCAACAGAAATACCTCTCTTCACCCTGCCTCCCACACCAGTGAGTAGACTGTCTTCACCAGAGAGAACCACTCAAATTTGGAGCAAAAGCTCCTTGCATATTTGACGAGGTCAACTCCTATCTTCAGACCTTGATGTTCCCACCCCCACACCTTCCAGAGGCAGGCCTGGCTCTATATAAGAGTCTCCTCCCCGCTCATTCATTCCTTAGCCATCCCAACCAGAAAAGGGGGGCTGTACCCTCTGGCCTGTCAGAGCTGGACTGGGCCCAAACTTACTCATGCAGGGCCAGCCTGGAGCTGCCTCTCTGCCTCACTCTCCTCCATGGGGAGCAATTCACAACACACTTATCTCAGGAATTCACTGCTCCATTGGGCAAGGGTCTGATTATCTCTCTCTAAACCTGTCTATCACTCACAGCACAGAAGGAACACTAAACAAAGACCTTTGTATCAATTTCTAACACTTTATTCTTTTTACTGCTCAGATGATATCACTGCAATGTTATCACAGTGAAGGTTAGACAAGGCCCAGAAGCAGTCATCACTAAGCAATGTTGGTTTTCTGAGGGTAACTCACAGCCTTATTTGCAGCTCATGCCCTGGTTCTGGCCTTTTCTACTGACCCATAAAGCTGAGCTTCATTCTGGGTATGTGACTATACAAGTTGCTCCCCAGTCAGGAACAGCTGGGAAGTTGTCTGGATTTTGTACTGCAGGCCAAGGATGGGTGATCTGTTCCCCTTTCCTCTAAGTGCACTGTGCATGTGGCCCCCTCTCAGCGTGAAGATGGCTGCTGCACAGGAAGAATAAAGGCAGGCAAGATAGGTGAATTGTAATCGCAAATGCCTACTTTTGTCACCTTATACTTCATTGTATTGCTAAAAATGAAAACATCTGTTAAATGTTAGATATGAAAACTCATTTTTAAATTAGATAAAGGGGAATTGTTAGCTATGTCTCTCCCCTTCTTCAGAACCCTATACAAGTAATACGATGTCAGTTCTCTAAGCTATCAAATTAATGAAAAATTCTAGTTAAATAGAAGATTTCTGAAATCATTTTAAGCCTGTGCATCAGTCCACAGGCCTAACTAAAGTGCTACTATGATTTTTAAAAATATAAGCATGAGCCCTGGCCAGTGTGGCTCAGTTGGCTGAACATCATCTTGTGCACCGAAAGGTTGACGGTTCAATTCCTGGTCAGGACACATATTTCAGGTTCGATCCCCGGTAGATGTTTCTCACATTGGTGTTTCTCTATAGATAGATAGATAGATAGATAGATAGATAGATAGATAGATATAGATATAGATATAGATGATATAGATATAGATATAGATGATATAGATATAGATATAGATATAGATATAGATATAGATATAGATATAGATATAGATATAGATATAGATATATTTGATTGATAGAAAGACACTTTTCAACTTCTGCATCTCAGAGACTTGTCACTTGTCTAAATCAGCAGTCACCAAACGGTGGTCCGCGAACCACTGGTGGTCCCTGAGGTCCAAAAGGTTGGCGACCGCTGGTCCAAATCGCTGGTCTAAATGATGTGTCTGTGGAACTACTAGTTATCTTGTATTCAAATCCTGGCTCCCAGACCTACAAGTTGTATGATCTTGGGCAAGTCACTTAACCACTGCAGGTAGAAAGGGAATAATGAGTTTCTTTCTCAGAGTGTTGCTGAGATGTTTGAATGTGTTAATAAAATAAAGCTGCTAGGTGAAAGCCTGGGCACAGCAAGTATCAGTAAGTGATAGCTGTGCATGTATCAGACAGACAGGCAGCAGTCTGGGGCTGCCCAGGCTTCGTGGCAATGGCCCCCTTATAATGCATTACTGAGTTCCGTGCTGTTTCTCTTCTCCACAGGTCAGTGCAGCTGAACGGGCAGCCCTTAGTGATGGTGGACGATGGGACCCTCCCAGAGTTGAAGCCCCGCCCCCTACGGGCTGGCCGGACATTGGTCATCCCTCCAGTTACCATGGGCTTTTATGTGGTAAAGAATGTCAACGCTTTGGCCTGCCGCTACCGATAAGCCACCCTCACATTCATGAAATGCCAGCAGGCCTACTGGACTGCTTTCCACCTTTCCGCTCCAATAGTATCCTTACTTTTCAGACATCTTCTTAGCAACAAACCAGTCTCTGCTGCCCCATCCTGCTGGAATCGACATAGACTTGCTCTCTCAAGGTAGCACGAGCTTAGCCTAGGTAGGTCACATCCACCCCAAAGGAAAATGTGGACATCACGTGTACCTTTATCAGGTTGAAGTTGTGTGTGTAGAGCTGTTTGTATCCTTGTATGTGTACCATGAAACCCAGCTGAAGCACACTCCTCTGACAATTGAAATAACTGCCCAGATCCTGGTCACACCACAGTGTTACTATAGGCCTTAGCCTGTGGCTGCCGCCCTCAGAAGATGAGCAAGGACCAAAGCCTGGTGGGCCTTGAGAGCCCCATCCTCTTCCAAAGTCTCAGCACAAAGAGAAAGCACGCCGCACCACCAGCACACTCCTTTTCTTGCCTGCTCCCTGCTGTTGCACTGGGTTTCCTATGAGCTCTCTTCCCAGAGGGGAGCAAGTGGGTGAGTCAGCCCTGGCTGATGGGTGAGCTCTTTGTGTCATTTCCCGGCTGATGTATGAGTGTGTGCATCTGGGTTTCTGACAGTGGCATCAATCACTGGCTATTCCTCTGGGAAGCCAGTGCTTCAAAAGTAAAATTGCGATCATACTCCAGATTTTATAAGAAGGCTCTATTCCTCTGTGAATCCAGATTCCCCCAGGGTTGGAATGGGAGTCGGGTAACAATATACATTGAGTGGAGAGCAATGTAGTAGGCACCACAAAAAGCAATCATCATCCGTCATGCGGCTGTGAGGGAGAGTTTCGGTACAAAGAGAAAGTACACCACACCACACACACACACACACACATACACACACACACCCCACCACCACACCACCACCACATATGTCCACACACACACACACACACCCTACCACCACACATGTCCACACACACACACACACCATCGCCACACCACCACCAGATGAAGTCCACACACACACGCTCCACGCCACCACGACACATGTACTCACGCATGCAAAGAAAGAGACCAGCGAAGTGGTGACAAAAAATGTTTTTAACATTACTAAATTGAGGGAAAAAGGAAACAATCTTAATATATAAACGTAATTTGTACTGAAATGTGCAGGGTATATATACGATCTAGGGGATATACGGTTTGTTTTTGCAAAATGGATGTAACAAACCTTAGATCGTGCGATGTAGAGAGCGACTTACTGTCTCGGGAGTGGTTGCAGATACCTAGTTCATTTATTTTCTATTTAAGAGATGGATGGAGATGTTTAGTGACAATTGTCTAGAAG